CAGCAACACATGCTGAGCTTAGGTTTGTCATACGTTCATTAAAAGTACGAACTTCATCGGGGCCCGATGGGATTCCTCCTTCCTTCTTTAAATCATTTTGTGGTCGACTATCTACACCATTATTGCATGTTATTAACGCCTCCATAGCCAGTGGTACCGTTCCATCATCCTGGAAACTCGCGGAGGTTGTCCCCATCTATAAAGGAAAGGGAGATACCAAGCCTGCATCCAACTATAGGCCAATCTCTTTGCTAAGCGTGGGGTCAAAAATTCTTGAAAGACTCGTCTCCATTCAACTCAATCAGTACTTGGACGATTGCCACGTATTGGCAGACGAACAGTTTGTCTTTCGTGCACACCATTCCGTCGAACATGCTCTTATACATTTAACAGAGTCCATTATGTAGGTCATCAGTGGATAATGGAGACGTATGCATTCTAGTTTCTCTCGACCTAAGTAAGGCATTTGATTCCGTCAGTCACAACATCTTGCTGAGTAAACTTTCCCAATATGGTATTGACCATCCTTGGTTTGGAAGCTACCTGTCAGATAGATCTCAGTACGTGCGGGGTTGCGACGACGCAATAGGTCATGTATCTACCGGTGTGCCACAGGGAAGTGTTCTGGGTCCAACGCTTTTCAATCTATTCGTGAATGATTTACCTGCAGTTGCTCATGGCTTATGTGCAATTATCCAGTATGCAGATGACACCCAGTGGTCTCTGGTTCGCCTCGTGATATAAGCAATGTCATAACTCGACTTCATGTTGCTCTTCAGAAACTTTCTGAGTGGTTCTCACGAAATCTACTTGCACTTAATGTTCTCAAAACGCAAGTTGTTGTGTTTGGTTCCAAAGTCACCATGAAAAATGTCAATGTTAGGAGTCTAAATATTTTTAACACTGCAGTACCCGTATCTACAGCCATCACTAACTAGTCTAGGTGTAACGCTGGATAGTTGTCTTACGTGGAGCAGTCACATTGACGGTGTCATTCGAAAGTGTACTGGTATGCTAATTCGATTGGGCCAACTTCGTCGCGTGATGCCCTTAAAGGTAATTGTCCTCCTAGTCAATGCCCTTGTTCTTCCTCATATTCGCTTTTGCATGGCTCTCTGGGGAAATTGTAATGTGACACAAGGGAAGAGAATAGGAAAAATAGTTAAATTTGCACAGCGTATCGCAGGTCGCGAAGCTCACAGACTGGCTTGGCGTGGAGATCTTGCCTTACAGCATAAAATCGCGGTATTAAAAACAGTTCGTCAATATCTACTTATCCCTGAATGTATGCCGCCACTAATTGTGTCTCTCTTTAAAGAGAGACAGTCAGACCGACAAACAAGGCAGTCAGGCAACCTTGACCTAGTTATACCTAGGACTGAAATGAAGAAAGCGTCCTTCTCTTACAGTGGTGCAAAACTGTGGAATAGCTTGCCCATTCATGTCCGAAACTATTCGAAAGCTGATTTTGTGAAATATATTTTGGAAAATCACGCGGTAAAATGATGCATATGTATGTGGTGTTGTTCCGGTGATGTCACATTGTTCGTTGTAATAATTGCCGGTTACTCATGAGGCTTCGCTGTCTCATCAAACTTTTTGTTATAGAAAATCGCTTTTGTTCTGCATTTTGATTTCGTTATACCTACGTGCTTATGAATGACAGGGCACTGCGCTGCCTGTATTGTATGTATATGGTTTATGTGTGTCAATGTGTTTCCCTCTGTAATGCCCACCGAATGGTGGTTAGTGGGAATATGAAATAATAATAATAATAATAATAATAATAGCCGATACGTCAGAAGAGTAGCAGTTATGGCTCGGACTTCCGAGGCCTTAGTTTGAACAGTTTGTGTCATATTATTTATAAGCACAGAATTTCGCTAAGTGATTTATTTATGACGTCCGACGAAATCACATTTGAATGAAACTACCTTTTGATTGTACTCAGCTTGAGAATAAATAAAACTCAGATTGCAGCTTCGTTACGGCATGAGCGGCCTTATACCTACATAACACCTGACTTCACTCACAGCGAGTATGAAAGAATCTGGACTAAACCTGACGAAACATTCATGATAAGGTGCTCTACACATGTTTGCAGTTTTACCACTCATCGAATTGCGATAGGAATCGGGTAAAAAACGTCCGTTTTTATTAGTTATTGAAAAAAATATTTACCTCCCGATTTTTTTTTGCATTTACCAAACCTCCGGCTACCATGACATCATACAGTTGCGCGTCACGTTTGCTCTGTTACCAACGTCCTCGTCTGTCTGTTTCCAGGACCCGTTCCGGTTCCCGTGGACACCGCGATGGATCCGGAGAGTCCCATCGGCTGGAGGATCCGCACGGTGGAGATGCACACGGCCGGCGAGCCGGTGCGTATCGTGGTCTCCGGCCTGCCGCCCATCGAGGGCGACACACTGCTGGACAAGCGCCGCTACTGTAGGGACAGCCTGGACCGGTTCCGCCGGCTGCTGATGGGCGAGCCGCGCGGCCACAGGGACATGTTCGGTGCCGTCCTGGTGCCCGCCGACGACCCCAAGGCGGACGCGGCGGCGCTCTTCATCCACAACGAGGGCTACTGCACTATGTGCGGCCACGCCTCGATGGCCGTCGTGCGCTACTTGGTGGACGAGGGCGTGGTGCCGCGCGCCGAGACCGGAGACACGGAGGTGAATCTGCAGTGCCCCTGCGGTCTCGTACGCGCCTGGCTGACGCAGGACAACCAGACCCGGTTCCTGTCCGTCCCGGCGTTTGTGCTCCACAAGGACCTCAGTCTGCCGCTGCCCGACGGACGCCAGTGCAGGATGGACATCAGTTACGGCGGGTCGTTCTACGCGGTGGTACGCGCTGGCGATCTGGGTCTGAACAGCGACTCCCCCTCCGCCGAGTACGTGCGCCAGGCGAGCTACATACGCCGCCATCTGAGCGCCTCCGGCGTGAAGATCCACCATCCAGACAGCGCCGACTTGGGCTTCCTGTTCGGCGTCGTGTTCGCCGACTTCGCGCCGCTCTCGGTGGTCGCTCCGCCTCCGGAGGTGGTCTCGCAGGTGATCGTGTTCGCCGACGGTCAGGTGGACCGGTCGCCGTGCGGCTCCGGCACGACGGCGTGCTGCGCCGTGCTGCACACCGCCGGCCGGCTGCCCACCGCGCACGGCTGCACGTTCCGCTGCGCCCTCACAGGCAGCGAGTTCAACGGCCGGGTGGCCAGGGAGATCGAGAGCCACGGCCGGCCGGCGGTGGTCGTCCAGGTGTCCGGCAGGTCCTTCTACACCGGCAGGGCAGAGTACCTGGTCGAGGCGGAAGACCCGCTCGGAGAGGGCTTCCTCGTCCAGTGACAGTTTATTGGGGAGTATTATTCTAGTGACCGAGCCGCTCGAGGGGTCTAGGTCCAGCGGTCAGTCTCTTTGAGGGGTCTTAGATTAGTGACCGGTCGTTTGGAGTATGTCCTTGCTCAGAGACGTTAGGGGGCTTCCTGTCTCGTTTCGTAAGTCTTTTTGATTTACTTGTGGGTCATTGCAGTCACCTGTTGAGGTCTCGCCTTTACTAAAACGCCATTATTTAGTTACAGCGTTGGACTGTTCACAATTTATCTTTTTACCTCAACTTTCGAATGCTTTTTAGTTCTTATGGCACATGCAAAAATTAGATGTCAGACAAACATAAGGACAGTGCATACATTAAACACTTCTAGCAGTTCAGATGTAGATTGATTATGTTGCGAGATATGTGCAATGTGCATGCATGTATGAATGCATTCATATTTTCGACCCTTCTGGCAAGGCTAGTCTTAGCTCTGAGCAACTGCATCATTACCGGATACATTTGTTTATATTCTCTAGAATAGATATACAGGGATACGCCATTTTGAGAATAGTTCCTATTCACCGCAATGTTACAACGCCTTACACGATCAAGAGCCGTATTCACGTCGATCATTTTCGTACGAATTTTCTAACGCATGACCTAAAATTATACTTACGAAAGAAAATCGACTTACGAAGTTGACGCGAATACGGCCCCAGAATATGTAGCATGCGCGGGTGTGTGTGTGTGTGTGTGTGTGTGTGTGTGTGTGTGTGTGTGTGTGTGTGTGTGTGTGTGTGTGTGTGTGTGTGTGTGTGTGTGTGTGTGTGTGTGTGCGAGTAGGTGTGTGTTCACATATATGTCCAGTGTCCAATTGCGCATTGCTCCTGTTGATGTTTTTGTTTGAGTTAAGAGGATGGTGATGGGCTTGAAGATGTTTGTCGTATTTATGGGAAACGAACTGTCTGATATATGTAATATATACGGAAGCGATGAAACGAATGACTGTACCAAGTCACCCATTTGAGATTCGGCAGTTGTGCAATGTTCTACGGAAACTTTCAACCATTCAGAATCATTATCGCTTGGGAACAATAAGGAAATGGCGCCAATAAAAGGGACTGAAAGAATAAGGTTACAGACACATTAGCTGATTTTCCTGTATTGATCTTAAAAAAAAAAAACAGGTAGGTACAGTTCCGATAAATGACACAAAGAACATCATCATTCATCATACATTAAGGACTACTCGTATCAGTGAATGCATAACAGTTTGTTGTAAAACGGGAACATTTCAAGAATATGAAAATCAGTAACAACGAAAACTTGACAGAGGAACTGCTTATAGAGCCGAAACGGTTAAATAGGCCAATGCCGATTCCTATAAGAATCAGCCATCAGAACACAATGCACGCTAACATAGCCTAAAGAAACGTCTCAGACCCATGACCCTCATTCATAAGCCACCAATCAGTAATTATAATTAAGCCATGACATTTCCACCACGCTGTCGACTCCAATCCACCGACCCCTCGCCCATTCGCGGCGCGCACCCACGCCTCCCCCGGCTCGAGTTACCTCGCCGGCCAGCGGATCAGCTTGCAGCTGTGACGGGGGTCGTGGTGCCGAGCCCGCGGGCGCGTGCGGAGCGAACTGACCCAGTGCAGTGTCGCATTCTGAACACTACACGCTAAGTGATCGTCTGGGAGCCCGCTGAATGTGAGCTGAGTGAGCTGAATCGTGCTGAGTGAGGCATAGTCTCTGCCTGACGGCTGGCGCAGTGTGAGACAGTTCGATCGCCCGTGACTGGTTTAGAGCTGCGAGTGGAGAGGAATCTAGTGTTGAGTGAACAGCGAGTGGGGTGAGGCTGTGATTTTTTGGCAGTAACTAGTTGATTCCATACTTTCAAAATGGTGAGCTCTCTAAGCTAGAAAGTCAAACTCTAGCGAAGCAGCTGTGAGAAGAAGTGCCGACTGGGCGGGTAGCCGACGTTTGAAAGAGTGAGCGTGGATTGGGTGAGACGCAAACCGGTAAACGGGTAAACGTCGTAGCGTTACTGGAACAAAACGTGAGCACTCAGGCGAACGCCGACCAAACGAACGACTCCAGAGGCTGCGAGGCGTAGCACCGCCTCAACATGACGGCGGCAATCCTGATGGTACTGGCCATCAGCAGCTCAGTGATAACACCAGGTAAGCTAAGAAAGTTTTGTGTAGCTCGTCATGAACTGTTATAAACTTTTCTTAGCGTTATTTCCAGAGCTATGCAACATAAATATACAGATCAATTCATTTCCTGTATATTTATTCCTTTATATTTATACATGTATAACAGAGGACGCTTATTGTGTATGCTGGATTTTATAAACTATGCACATTTACATACATGCATAATGAACTGATGTAATTTCATCTACGAATTGATATGCTGCGATCATGGTTATATTCAAATAAGGGGTACAAACGGATTACTTCAGAATCATGCAGATTGCAGCTTCACTTTCCAACAAATCTACCTCTTATATAGTCACTAGGAAGTAGGAAACAGTGTAGACAAATGCACTTTGGGAGCATATAATTGGTGAAAAAAACGTTGTTAAATGCCCATCAAAAAGTTCTGATGCATTGAAGATTCACTAAACAATTTTTTTTTTAATCCCTGTCATTGGCCCGCTGTTTTCTGCACGTTTTCAGCGTTTTCACAGCAGCAGCGGTTTCGGGTGCGGCCGTCGGACGCGAGTGTGATCGAGGGGGAGAGTGTCACGCTGCGCTGCGAGGTCGACCACCAGGTCGGCCAGCTCCAGTGGACCAAGGAGGGCTTCGCCATGGGTGAGAGATATAATCAGACGGAGGTCAGGCGCTGCCTGAAGGCGGCATGTGTCCTCTTAGCTGTTTGATTCTGTTTTGGTGACGCTGGATATGATAAATGATTATGAATGATCTCGTGATTAGGTAAACAGTTTTCATTTACTGATGCATTTGCTAAAATAAGGTGTACATTTTTCATTTACTGATGCATTCGTTAAAATAGGTACGGCTCTCGCGAGATTAAGCGGTAGGTTTTGCACTTTTACATTTCCGGTTATATCTCAGAAACTAATCGATCTACGATGAAGCCATTTTACATGATCATGGCCGGCTTGTGAACCAACAAGTCGATTGCATCTTCTACATTTAAAAGCTTAAGACGACGAAGATATAGCCTGAAGTACACTAAATTTTCTAGGTGCAAAACCTACCGCTAAAACCCGTCTCCGCGGGTTTGTACCTGTACCTTTCGAATTTGTATCATGACTACGGAAGGCGTTATTCAGCCGGTCTACACGGCTTACGTAACGCATATTTGTTTTACAGGCATGCATATCTGCTTTCTTAGTTCCCAGATCTGATGTTTTTGTAACTTTCCACCATTTGCCTTTTAGCCGTAATGGATAACTGGTTACATTATCCTAAGCGGCCCTAGCGTGGTTGACGGCGACAGTAGGTATAGTCCACTACAGAATGATGTTCCACTTTTCATCGGCAATTATTTGCCTGGAGTGGTAGGCTGTGCCGCATCACACGGGCTGAGTTCACAAATTATAGCTTTTTCCCAATGCTCACAATCGACCCGCTTAATTGCTTGATAAACGGCACAACTTAGCGCTCCGGTCAACTGATAGCTTCTGAGGAGTGGAACATCATTCTGTAGTCGACTATACAGGGGTTCGAGAGATCGTACCATGGACTGTCCTCTCCAGCAGGCCATCAGGTTCGCATTCTACCACCGCAGCATTGTAGCATAATTTATGTTCCATTCACCCTGTCTGATAAAACTCCTCTACGTGCCCCGGGCCCCGTCACATTCAGTCCACTCGCTCGCCTTCCGCCACCGAGCACATGTGTAACGGGAGCCGCCCCCCTGTGCCACGCACCGGTCACCTTACAGGGGGCGGGCCTTTGCCCTGCGGACGGCAGCAGCCGGCCGCGGGGCAGCTGGCGGCCCACGCAGTCACAAATGAGGCGACGCAGTTCGGGTGATTGTGCCAATTATTATCTCATTTGTCACAACGTATACCTAACTACTAGTGAACTGAAGCTGACCCAATCAAGTAAAAAACAAGTACAAACTAATGGCTGTTGATCCGCCTGACAAAAAGCATGTGAAAGTGTGAAGAAACTCGTCGGCTTGAGACACAAGACACTACGGCTAAGTCTAAAGTCAACTTATCTTTTTGTGACTAGCACCTACATACAACCCATAGGCATGTAGCACATCTGAACACATTGTTTTCCTTTACACAACATTGCTGATTTATCGACGAGCCTGTCAACCGCAATCCTGATGCACATCTAATGCGCAGTACGCAGCTCATGATAATCAGCTGTTGCATAGGCTGTCCCGCAGCACACAGGAGCCCTCCGGCACAGCCTACCTGACAGGCCGCCGTCGGCCGGCCGCGCCTCTTCTGCAGGGTACGAGCGTGATCTTCCCGGCTTCCCGAGGTACCGGGTCATCGGTGACGCCGAGGCCGGGGTCAATGACCTGCGGATCGTCAACGTCACACTGGAGGATGACGCGCTGTTCCAGTGCCAGGTTTCACCCAACGGAGGCCAGGAGGCCATTCGCGCCGCGGCCTATGTCACTGTACTGCGTGAGTGAAAAGGGTTCAAGGAAGAAAGGTGTGTTGACTGTTGAAGTGAGAATGCCTGTAATGCTGCGGAGTCTAAGAAGTGTTTTCAATGTCAATTAACATTATCTTCTGAGCTTCGCAAAACGTTGATAAAATCTTTAAAGCTCAGAAGATTTCGGGATGCGTTGGGCTCCGGTGCCTTTCTCCAGCCCTAAAATAGGCTGCAATAAGCAATAAATTGACGAGCAACAAGGTAAAATGCAATCTGACTCCCTTATAATATCGTCAGCTTTACTTTCCTCCATCTAACGTCCCAATATCCACTCCACGCTGAAGCCTGCCTCATTCACTGTGACGTCAACGCCCCCCTCCCCCCAGTGAAGCCCGTATCCATATCGGTGACGTCAGAGGCACGCTCACCGCGACCAGAAGTGTTTGAGATCCGGACTGGAAACGAGATCAAGCTGACCTGTGATGTCAAAGAAGCCAAACCGGCGGCCACGGTGCAATGGCAAAGGAACGGGGTCGACATACAACCGGGTGAGTGCCTGCCTGCAGTAAAGCAGTACGCGTAATAATCTGTTTGTTATTGATCAATTCCATTATTTTACACTCTCGTATTTGCCTGGCGTCAAGGAGGCGACAGAAACATTATCTGAATCAAATACATTTTGTTTTATAACAAATTGCCAACCTGCTCTGTCGATGCCGAATGAAGACGGCCGCTTAACTTCTATAACTTAAACCATTTATTCTGTTCAGTTACCGTAACGTTTACCTCAAAGCATTAGGGGCCAATTACATTTTCCCTCCGGTCTACACCCTATTTTATCCCGCGCCCCGCTGGGCTATTCAGCCATACGCGCCCTGCTGGGGGGGGGGGGGGCAGATTCTGCCCCCTGTCTAACTTCCGAACAGATGGTCGTAGAAAGACGGGGAAAACGGCAATCGAAAGCTCTCAACAAGGCGGATCTTAAGAGCCCATTTTTTTTGCTTAAGTAGGTCAGAGGTCAGGTCAAGGTCAGGTCAAGGGTACAAAATGCAAGTTTCTACAGTATCGGCCTTGCACCGAAGTTGCCAAAGAATGGAATGAGGCTGATTGCCCAAAACGTGTTCTTAGACTACCCAGACAATATTCGTTGCATACAATGTCATTCAAAGGTCAAGGTCAAGGTCAGGTCAGGTCAGGTCAGGTCACCAAAAACAAAATATAGAAAAGGGCATGTGCGACACATGTTTTATGGGTCATTTTACTCATAGAATTCAATAGGCATACTCAATAAGTGATATGGACCACCTCTGGATGAATTTCAGGTCGAGGTCAGGTCAAGGTCAGGTCAAGTAAAGTCAAATTTTGAAGTTGGTTGTTAAGGCCTAAAAAGGTGTCTATCTGAGCAGTTTTTCACGGCGAATCGAATGGTGCTATTTTTGTTTACGTACGAGGTCTAGAACTTCTTAAAAAATCATTTTTCAAAATTTTTGTGTGTCGTGACGTCATAAAATTTTGAATAACTCCCACATTTTTGAACCGATTCTTCTAAAAATTGGTATGTAGGTGCATATAGACCACTTCTCTGACATATATTCCGGTTTTTTCGATACACTCAAAATTTTGGATTTTATAATTATTTTCCCAAAAAAGTCAGTTTTTTGAGAAAAAAAAATTGGGCCAAAATCCAAAATTTTCAAAAACCGAGATAGCCATTTGATAGACAAAGTAGAATCACGTATAACCTTTTTTGTTACGTCTTGATTCCTTTAAATATGAAGATGTTAGCGGCGTTTGAAATTTTGCCGTTTTTGAGGCGAAAATGGCGAACATGACGTCACTAAAACGTCAATTTCTCAAAAAATTTCCGACGGATTTCGCTCACATTTTCAGGGAACGTGTCAAATTAATGTGTGATAAGGTACTGAAAGTTTGACGTCGCTGGCATAACGCGTTTAGAAGTTATTGGCGAAAAACGGGAGGGGGGCAGATTCTGCCCCCCCCCCCAGCGGGGCGCGGGTTATCACACTCATCACCTCCGCGGCCCCCTCAGACCAGGAGGTGTCGTTCTCTGACCCGGATCAGCCGGAACGGAACGACACCAGTTCCACCATCACCCTGGAGCCCACCCACTTGGATGACGGCGCCGGGTACTCGTGTCTGGCCATCCACCCGGCGATACCGGCCGGCCAGCAGGCCAGCTTCAACACCACCGTCACACTCTCCGTACTCTGTAAGTGAAAAGTGTTTAATGAGTGATCTGGGTTATGTGAGCCACCCGTGCTCCGTGAGTTCCCTGTGTTATGTGAGTGAGCTAGCTGCGTTTATGAGTGCTACGTGATTTCTGATACACGGGCCCGTGTCTTGTGAATTTCTCGTGTTGTTTATTGCTTTGAGATATGCGAGTGCTCCATGCTTTGCGTTTTACGTATTCTGCGAGTGTTCTTGCACAGTGAGTGTGAGTGTGAGTGAACTTGCACCCTGGTTTGAAAGCATTCCAAGCTCCGTGAATTCTGCGTGTTTCGTGCCTGTTGGGTGTGGATGCGACATATTGCCCTGTGAGTTTCCAGTGGCCCCCACATGGCGCCTGCCTTGTGCATCGATCCTCTGGCTGAGTTCGATAGCCTTGTTCTGCGCAATTCCACCATATCTAATCCCGTGAGCACGTAATATAAGAGAGACGTGGATAGGTAATTGTACAGATATTCATGTGCTGATATCAAGGAAGATTTTACTATTATTGCCCCAATAAATGTGTCGCAGTTCTATTACTAAAATTTTCGCGCTTGAAGAAGCGAAATCGACAAGTGCAATCGATAGTTGTTTCTATCAAAGGGCAGTAAATACAGGCTACAGCTCGATAAGATACCGATTATCGTTCTACGTTTTATTGTGTGACACTTCTACGAATTATTTTCAATAGTTCAATTTAAGGCGAGTGTTATGCGTTCTGGTTCAACCAACATGTTATCTGAATCACTCGCTAGCTCACTCACTAAAATGGCAACCCTGTTATCATCCCCTTCTTCCCGCCCTTTCCTATTTATCGTCAGACGCACCAAGTCCTCCCGAAATCACCGGCTACGACGAGGGTGAGATTGTCAGAATGGACGAGGAGAAGACTCTGACCTGCATCTCACGGAACGGTAACCCTCTCGCCGAGCTGGTGTGGTTCAAGAACGGCGAGCCCATCACCTACCAGTACCGGACGATCCGCAACCGGGCCATCTCCGAGTACACGTTCAAGGCGGCGGCCTCCGACCTGGACGCCGTCTACCGGTGCGAGGCGTCGTCGTTCGTGCACCCCGAGCCGATGGTGACTTCCGTCAGAATGAACGTCCAATGTGAGTAATACATTACTAGTTAGTTCTGCTAAGCGCTGATTTGTGTTATGCTTGACACCCAAACAAATTACTTATCTATACGATAGATGATTAGGTATTGGGTTCACATATGCCCGGTATTTTGGGTTGTAATGACTGCACATTAAGCTGTCCAGCAATCACTGCGTCCGTGGCGCTTTTGCCGTGCCGGCGCCAGCACACCCCTCCTCTCTTGCGGCGCGGCTGGACTCGTTTCCTCCCTTCTCGCCGGTTTTTCACACAGAGCGTGGGGTGGTCGCTCCGCTGTATGCGACCGGGGAGGCCGTGCCGGGTCGCACGCCGCTCCCCGGCAGGTCAGGTCGCGGCCCGGCCCGGCCCGGGCCCTGTTTCCCGACCGCTACTAGCACGCTGCCAGCACACGTGTCAAATTGAGTTTCCATGGAAATATCAACAAACTCGGGCGCTCCAACTTTGAGTGACTTGACCACAAACTATGGCGTCAGCTCGCGAAATGCGCTGGCAGCGTGGTAGCAGCGCGCTAGCAGCGGCCGTGAAACACCGCCCCGGCCACCGTCAGCAGCCAGCTGATCCAACGCGGCGGGGTCGCGTGGGGTCAGGGCCCCCGGGCGCATGAACCAGACTCCTGGGAGGATGGAGGCGCCGTCCGGGGGCGTTCTTAGAGGCCGCAGCAGCGGGCGTGGGGACGCCGGTGTTTAGGTCACGCCAGGCGGCCACAACGGTCGGCGGTAGCAGACGAGTCAACCGCAGACACCACAGCGGCACACAGCGGCTGGGTAGCATGAATAAATACTACGCAGTAGGTACATTACGTGAAAATGGAAGCCACGTGGTGGCAAAGTGAGGCACGGAACACCGCTGCTGGCTGAAGTAATGCTGGAGAGGTCGACTGACCGCCACGCGTCGTGCCGCCGCTAGTTGACTTGTCACGTATAACTGATTGCCATGGAAAGCAGTCACTAAAAGCAGCTGATTGCTATCACTCAGAGAAAGCTGTACCACCGTTCACAGTCTGTAGACCACTCACTAAACCTTTGACTCCTACTGTCTTATTTGTAATATCACGTTTTAAGTTGGCTGCAAAGTAGAGTCGATCTCACCGGGCTTTCCCCCCACGGTCGTTCCCAGTCGGACCCGAGTCGGTCGAAGTCGAGGGAACTGAGGAGGCCAAACGCGGCGAGGATATCCAGATGTCCTGTAAGACATCCAGCAGCAACCCTCCGGCCAACATCACCTGGGTGCTCAACGGACGAACCGTCGTCAACGTACGTATTCTGGGAATTCGCCCAAAATGGTGAAGTGAAGAGGACGGTAGGGGTCCTAGTAGTGCGTATGAATATGTTGAAGGTCGTAAGCCACAATTCAGGTTGTCGGAAATATCTACAGTCCCTTTTAAGTCTTACAAGTACCGCGCGACAGTGCGGTGGATCCATCAAGCCTGACCGAGGAAGGGTCTACTATAATTTGAAAGTCACCGAACCAATTGACCTGGGGAATGAACGAGGATGTCAATTGCTTCGGTGACTCAAATTTAGCAGTCCTTCCACGGTCGGGCTTGATGGTTCCCCCGCACTCTTGCGCGGTACTTGTAAGACTGACTGTCATTACCTTACAAGCGATGTTGATGCGAATGAAAGCGAAATAACAAGATCCCGTTGAAGTATGGCTAGTGTTTAAATGCATAACAAACATTTAATTTTGGATAGTCAAAATACGCATATTTAGGCTGTCACGTAAGATAAATGCTCCATTATTTCTTTCAGACGACTCAAGCCATTGAGCCTCACGACGAGGGCGGCTGGGTGTCCCAGTCCAACCTGACTGCCACCATCCCCATGAACATGCGCGAGGACATGGTGGTCTCCTGCTACGCACTGAACCCTTCTCTGGGCATCAACGAGGTCGGCACCATCAAGGTCACGGTACTATGTAAGTGCCAGTAGGGTGGCACGCGTAGCCTTTGAGCTAGATGGAATAACGTTGCATTTCCTGAACCTTCAGTTATTTATCAATATACCCACAACAAAGTATAAAAAAGGATTCTGGGCTGTGATAAAACAGGTGTTAAATATTACATTTTGTTGACGTTTTTTTTTTTTTAAAGAAATTGTGATTTGCTAGAAATAAAGTACTCTAACCGAAATTGATATTCAACACCTGACAGTGAGGCTTCCTGCGGCGTAAAACACCAATGGATTATAACCCCAATCACTATTGAAGAGAGATCAGAACTCAGTCATCAAACAAAACAGCCAATCTCTGACTGGCCTTCCCCCATGGCCGCCTTCACAGACCCTCCGAAGAAGCCGCGCATTCTGGGCTACGTTCCGGGCACGTACTTGACCTCAGGTCAGAGCGTGTCCCTCTCGTGCCTGGCGCAGGGCGGCAACCCATCCGCCTCTCTCACCTGGTACAAGGGCTCTGACGAGAAGAACTCCAAGACGAAAGTCGATGACGACGTGGCGAGGAGTGTGCTGTCGTTCGCCGTCGACTACCGCGATAACGAAGCGGTGTACCGGTGCGACAGCTCCAACCCGGTGCTGGAGAGTCCCGACTCGACCAATGTCACGCTGCTCGTCTACTGTGAGCAGACGGGGCGGGGAGTGAGGGAGGGGCACAGGTCGATAGAATCAGAGTCAGCGATCAGAGGGGCACAGGTCAGCGATTAGAGTGCAGCCTTATTGATCACAGCTCACATCTGCACGATCACATGTAATGGTGGAAACATGACGCTGAAGGTTATAACTATAATCTCCTAACTAAAGAATTTACTTTATGTATGTAAAAAAGGAGGCAATTCCACTCATCATTTTTATGCTTGACAATTACATGCCTTCTTTATTACATCATTTGCAAATACATACATGCACTTGAAAATATTATTTGCATCAAATCAAGAAGCACCAATTTCCTAATTATCCCATCAGTAATGAAGTCACCGACGCGTTTCATTCACCATTTTACAGACCCACCGCCTGGTCTGAAGCTGAAGGTCAAGCAGAAGAAGCTGAAGGCCGGGAAGCGGGCGGTCATCATCTGTGAGTCTCGACCGTCGAACCCGGCGGCCAATCTGACCTGGTGGCGCAACAGTGAGCTGGTCACCGACGGAGTGTCGAATGTCACCAGCAAACCGGCCGGCGATCACGGAGGGTGAGATCGAGGGTGGTGAGAGGATAAGACGGGACTTTGAGAGGAGGGTGAGATAGGCGAGGTAAGCTAAAGCTGGCCAGCGAGTCGAAGGGTGAGACGGGGTGCATTCCGGTACAGTCTATCATTTGTGAAGCCGTGCCCGGCGGCACAGTCTAGCTCACAGGCGGTCGTGTCATGCGGTACAGTCTATCTCGCAGGCAGCCGTGTATTGCGGTACAGTCTACCTCCCAATCAGCCGTATTGCGGTACAGTCTATCTCCTAGACACTTGTGTTGTGCGACATACCCCGCGTTCGATATCTCTCGGACGACGAAGATTCTACGTCGTCCGGCCAATCCCGTTCAAGGTCAGCGGGGGCTCGGCTGCGGTTATGGAAGGTGATTGGCCGGACGACGTAGAATCTTCGCAGTCCGAGAGACATCGAACTCGGGGAATCTCCCAGGCATGGTCGTGTCTGGCGGTATAGTCTATCTTACAGGCAGTTGTGTCCTGCGGTACAGTCTATCTCACAGGCAGTTGTGTCCTACGCTACAGTCATCTCACAGGCAGTTATGGCCTGCGGTACAGTCTATCTCAGAGGCAGTACCATGTCCTGCGGTACAGTCTATCCCCCAGGCAGCAGTGTCCTGAGGTGCAGCCTATCTAACAGGCAGTAACCATGTCCTGTGGTACAGTCTATCTCCCCGTCACCGTGTCCTGCGGTACAGTCTATCTCACAAGCAGTCGTGTCCCGCGGCACAGTCTATCTCCCAGGCAGTCGTGTCCTGCGGCACAGTCTATCTCCCAGGCAGTCGTGTCATGCGGTACAATCTATCTCCCAGGCAGTCGTGTCGTGCGGTACAGTCTATCTCACAGGCAGTTGTGTCATGCGGTACAGTCTATCTCCCAGTCATCGTGTCCTGCGGTACAGTCTATCTCCTAGAAAGTTGTGTTGTGTGACATAGTCTTTCTCCCAGGCAGTTGTGTCATGCGGTCCCAGTCATCGTGTCTTGCGATGCAGTCTATCTCCCAGGCAGTCGTGTCTTGCGGTAGAGTACATCTCCCAGTAGCCGTGTATTCCGGTACAGTCTATCTCCCAGGCAGTTATGTCTTGCGACACAGTGTAGCTCGCAGACATGCTGTTATCTCATTGTGTTGTCTCCATGCCCAGATTCACCAGCAAGATCCGGCTCCGGAAGCGTCTGGAGTGGACTGACGACCAAGCGGTCTACACATGCCGCTCTCAGGTCTCTGTGCTGCCCGGAAACATGCACGACGCCATCACACTTCACGTTGCCTGTGAGTGTCTTATGCGCGCCGCTCGCACGTCGAAAAGCAAACTTACCAAAATTTGAGATGGGTGTATGTAGCGTAGTTAACAGTTGACGTTTGCATAAAATAATTGTTGTTGGCTGAACTCAGAAGAGCACAATCGGTTGGGTGTCGTCCATTTTACCATTATTGATTTGCTTCGAACAGATATGGCGTTCTCTGACATCTACCCCGTCTAACTCTATCGGCCGATGTTTCACACTCACCCCTCTTCCCCTTGTCGTCAGTCGCGCCCGTCTTCACCAAGAAATCCATCACCGAGGACATCCTGGTGGGCGACTCGCGTCTGCTGGACCTCACTGCTCGCGGCAGTCCAGACAACATCACCTATCGTTGGTTCAGGGGTGACGGCGGCCTGCCGTCCGAGGGCGCCCGCGTGGTCGGCATAGGACCGCTGCTCAACATTACGGCAGTTCAGAAGGCGGACGCCGGACGGTACAGACTGGAGGCCGAGAACGACGAGGGCACCTCCAAGATGAGGGTCACCATTAATGTGCAGTGTGAGTGATGTATAGTGTATACTCGGGACAATGAAGGAATGGGAAAAATGGGTCACTCTAAATCGAAGCGCACTCTCATACTTCAAACTCGAGTTTAACTTACAAGTCGTAGGTCTAAAAAGGAAGCAAGATTTTAAATTGCTTTAATATTGGAATGGGTTATTGAGTAAAGATATCTTCAATAATTGCAGTGAGACGATTGTTATATTACTTACGGCAGATTAAAAGTTTCACTCATCTTAGACTATATCTGATGAAAAGTTTTCAACAACTGTTCCGAGTTCGTCCCACCCTGTATCCTGTGTTCCAGACCCTCCGGAGGTGACGACTATCTCTCGCGAGCTGCTGGTGGCCCCCGGTGCCACGGCCGTCCTGGAGTGTTTCGCCGACGCCAACCCTACCACCGACGACATGATCAAGTGGTCGAGAGACGACTTCACCTTCGGCGGCAACAAGACCAAGTCGTTCTACCGCAACGGCACCTCCTTCCTCACCGTCTACGACGCCAGGAAGGAGGACATTGGAGAGTTCCTCTGCACGGTCGACAACGGACTCGGAGAGGTCAACGCCACAGCTGGGCTGCTTGTGGAACGTGAGTTCGGATATGGGCTAAGGAGAGGACTAGAAAATGCATGATGATGCTAAAAAGCAATGATTTATTTAAGTTACCCTGTTCGTATGGTTTGAAATATAAGACATAAATGATAAATATGCATATCATAAGACACTTATCCGAGACAGCAATTCATTCCTACGGTCTTACGGTCACAACCATGTATGTATGTAGGTAATGCGTCACAATCTCGTATGTTGCCCTTTTTTTCCAATGCCTCTCGCCTGCCACAGATGCCCCTGAGATCGACACCAGTCCGCAGTTTCTGAAGTCGGCCGCTGAGAAAGGCGAAACTGCTCTGATCACGTGTCGTGCCCGCGGAGCTCCCAATGTTACATTCGAGTGGTCACGTGGTGGCGTGGCCATCGACGAGTCGACCGAAGACGACAAGTACAGCATTACGTACACCAGGGTAAGCAAACATGAGAACAGGGATTGTGCCCCACAATCCCTGTTCATGTTCTTGTGGGGCCACTACGTCATGTTCTGTTCCCTCAAAAGCCCTCAGTGAAGTGACCGGAGGAAAACCGCAAATAACTATATGCGAGTTCTTCTAAGCTCAAATTTTTTAACTATTACCAATCTCTCGCTCAACATCTTTTGGACCGACTTTTCGGCCCCATGTAAACTTGAAAGCGAGATCCACCCTTGCGATATTAGACTCATGTACCTTAATGCTACCTTGTGTTTCTGACACGCAGGAGGGCCTGGTGACCTGGCAGTCGGTGCTGAAGGTCTCCTCTGTGGTCACCGCTGACTATGGTGCCTACGCGTGTGTGGCGCGCAACGAGCTCAACTTCCAGCGCCAGGAGATAGAGCTGGGTGGCACCACCTCTCCCGACCCGCCCATCGAGGTCAAGGCGCTCAGCGTGACACACAACAGTGTCGAGCTCAGCTGGACTCCCGGGTTCGACGGCGGCCTCATACAGGTCAGCGGCTGTGGCTGCGGAGGACAGTGGGTGTGGTGTGGGGGTTTGAAAGGATGTTGGAGAAAGATGAAGCTGCAGTGGTCGATCTGTCATACAGTTGTTAATAATGCATGGTATCACCATCCTTAATCTCTCGACTAACTGAGCGAGCTGGTGACAGGTCACTCACTCTTTATCACTCTTAATTTGTTTGATTATCGCCCTTTGTACTTCTCGGAAGCTTATGATGTGTGTGCTGTATGTTATGTGTATGATGCACCCATCAATAGCTAGCATCTGTGCACGATCAACTGACCTATTCCTGTTTCTGTCCCGCAGCGGTACCGGGTGCGGTACACGGAGACGGCCGGCCCAGAGCGGTTCAGTTACCAGGACGTGCTGCCGGAGAACGCCACCGTGTTCAGCGTCGAGCTGCTGCGGCCCAACACCGAGTACAGCTTCTCCGTGCAGGCCTACAACGACCTCGGAGAGAGCGGGTACACCAAGGACGTCGTCAAAGCCAAAACCACCGGTATGTAGCCGGAAACAGTCTTCGTACATGGACACTGCAGCAATAATAAAAAACACTCAAAAGAAACATGCTCCCATTTTTGTGAAGCAAGTGCTTTCAGACTACAGTATTGGCTATTGCTGAATTTTTCCAGGCGACCGTCTAGTCGCGTGCCATATAGACTGTTCCGGAATGCACTGGTGTATTGCGGCACAGTATTTAATGGAAATCGGCACACAATGATAGCACCCTATTAGGCGTAGGTAAGGTATGCCTCTTGTTTTAAACAAGCCTAACGATGGCCAGCCATTCGCTTTTGGAAGACGAGGATGGCCGAAAGAACGAAAAATGCACCTTTAAAAGGACACTTATCTACACATTATTACATAATCATTCATGAACCGGCTGGCGGCTTATTCTAAAGACGGACTCGTCTAACATGTCACGCATGTAGACAAGCGTATCTATGTCACAGCGTTGCTTCTCTGCCCACCACCATCTGACCGTCATCTCCCATTACACCCCTCGTTCCTCGCACACACACACACCCCTCCTTCTCACACAGACGGTCCGGAGGCCCCTGCGCCTCCCGAGGAGGAGGACCGCGCCCGCGAGCTGCTCTCCCGGCTGGCCGTGTTTGTCATCACCGTGGCCGGCGCCATCCTGCTCGTCATTAACGTCATCCTGATGACGTGCTTTGTCCGACGACGTCAGCTCAGACGGCTGTCAAGTACGACTGCGCAATATCGGGGCGGTGTTCTGTTAGGAAATGTATAAGGGTAATCGTCACAATCCAGCATTTTTTCAAAGCGTGTTTCGAGACCATATCAATAAATATGAGTTCATTGGCAACGATCCGGGAAAATGTCAGATAAAAAGTTGTTGTTATCACATGTAGTACTATTAATTCTAATCGTAGCAATATTAGTCATAACGAAGACACTTTATTTCATTGTTCCATCAGTATAGCCGTATATAGGCATCATGCCTTCCAAGACAGTTCACGGGACTTTTGCGGTATAACATCCCAGCCCTTCCGTGACTGTGTGCCTGTCTCCCGACGCGCAGAGCTGGCCAGTAGCAGCGCCAAGTCGGACACGCTGCGCAGTTACAGTGGCGACACAGACAGCTCCGACGCGAGCCGAGCTGATGACGACAGCTACTCCGTTGGCGGGACGGCCAACAGCTACACGGTGAGGCGGCATTAGAAATAAAAAATAGCGCTGAACGTCATGTGCGTGCAGTGTTATGTTGCAACCGTTCGTTTATATGACCCTGCCACCCGCCGGCCGCTGGGGGGGGGGGGGCTAGTTATTACCCTTTACTTCTCCGACGATATCGTTGCAATGCGAAAAGATAGAAAAAGCGAAACTTTGCACAGATATTCCCGAGTAGCTAGCCTGGATTGCGTCCAACTATATGACGCCACTGTGATGTCATCTTAAGTGATACTACCACCAAACTTACCTCAAGTATGGCCTAGGTATTCATTTGAAGCTCTACTAAGTTACAAGTTCATATCATATCAGGTTTCGGAGATATCACACAAACCGTAAAGGAGGAACTTTCTCTCTCTCCCCCCCCCTCCAAGCGGCTCATGGGTCAACTTTTAGGATGTGTATTACAAACGTCTTTCCTACGCTAAACCTTATATCACCTCTTATATCATATTCTTTGCTAGTGTCGCTAGTGCTCGTCAAGTTCCAGCCTCTCTTTTTATGTTCCAGCGCTGTCGTGTATTATTTCTGTTATCACACACCCCTTCCCGCTCCCAGGAGGGTAGCAGTAGCAGCCGTGGCTACGGTCCCGGCTCAGAGACCACGGCTGGCTACGGCGGACGGCCGTGGTCACCCGCCTCTACGGCTTACAGTCGTGGCGGCACGGCGCGGCGCGCGGGCTACGGCGGGGGACCGTACCGACAGACCGTGCCCACCCCCGACCTCCTGGCGGGCGGCGGTAGGAGGGCCGATCCCTACTACCCCGAGTCAGTGGATCTCTCTGACTGGGGAGAGCAGAGGGGGCAGACGCGCCAGCCGAGACTGCGGGTCCTTCCGTCGCCACCGCCACCGCTGGAGCAGCGCGGCCACCTCTTCTAGACTGAAGACGGACCGGACACGCGGACAGGCGGACAGACGGACGAATGGACAGACGGACAGATTGACAGGCAGGTAGACGGGCAGACAGACAGACGGACAGACGGACAGACGGACAGACGGATAAATGGACCGACGGACGGACGAACAGACAGACGGACGGATGGACCGGACAAACAGACTAATGGGATGGGGATGTAACTATGCGTTGTGCGTTGTATGTACGCTTGTCTCTGCCATACTGGGTTGAGAGTTTGAAAGGAAAGTCTCGAAAGGCTCAATAATCAATATGTATCTTGACGGCGAGATGGATTATTTTGCCTACATGCGAGCTAAGTGTGAATGAGCGAGGTGCCATACCGTATTTGTAGCTTGCTGTCGAATATCATCATTCAGCACTGATGCGTCTTTTATAAGGAGCATGTTACGTGACTATCACAACTGAACTGCCATTATATGTGAGCTTTTCCCTGCGAATAGGTCGATTTTGTAAATAAACGTTTATTGATAATACATACGAAATACTCTATTAGACTTTCTCCATTCAGCCCTTTCACACTATGCAGGTGTCGTACTAACATTTTCATCTCACTGTTTGATATTTATTTTCTCATAGCGTTGTCAAAATGTTACGAAAACTAGGGCTACTACTTATTTACAGGCATGCTAGTGCAAGAATTAACGCGAAGATGACGACTTATGGCATATTGCGGCGACGCGACAATAAATATAACGTTTCCAAAAAGCCCTGTCCGATCACTGGCAGACGGGCACACCCAGGCAGCGGTTGTAGCAGCACCGTCTGCCGTTCACGCAATCCCTCTGAAAGCGACAGCGGCGTCTGAACCGGTCCTGGGGCTCACACTGCGCCGTCTGGCGGCAGACTGGCGCAACTCTAGTTCCCTCCGCTGTCGATGATATGAACAACGGCGCTGTTGTCTCTCCAAAGCCTTGAACTTGGTTGGAAGGTGGACTGCGGTTTCCTGTCAACGGGCGACGCGGTGGGGAGGATGGGCGCCTCCTCGAAGGGAACACTGGAGAGGTGCTTGGCTCTTGAGGAGGGACCAAAGATGTCGAAGGGCGCAGGGGAATGGCTGAGGACGGCCGTTTTCTGAAAGGAAGAGGCGATGAGTGCGAGTTCAAAGAAAAGGGAGGAAGCCGCTTATCCCCGGAGAAATGCAATGATGAAGGATGAGCTCCAGTTGGGAACTGCAAAGAAGATTGAAAGTCATGCGGTGATGAAATAGGCAGCCGATTAGTATGTGAAAGTGATGACGTGGGCCGCCTTCGTGTAGGCGGATGTGTGAATCTTATGTCATGAGAATTAGACTGGGGATTCTTTAGAAAAGACCCCGCTGAGGGTGTTACCGCCACTGACGTGGAGGACGGGCGAGTCCTGAGAGGAAGAGTCGGTGAACTGACAGGCCTCAGAGGTGGTCTGTGAAAGCCAACCGAACCCCCGGGGCGTCCGTTGTGTGGCGGAACACCGACAAACCGATTGGTCGTACCGGAGAAGACGATCGGTCTCCGGTTACCACCGCCGACTGGAAGGGTCCCAGGAGGTCGTGCAGGCTGCGCTATGGACGTCTGAGGGGTGTTCGCAGTTGGAGTAGGACTTCTCACAGGGTGGGAGGGGACAGACGGGCTTTTGAGTCGGTCTGGAGTTGTCTCTAACGGAGGCGACCTCAAACGCTCTGACAACGGGGCCGGAAAATCACCGCCAATGTCGTTCCGATGGTTGTGGTCCTGGTCCCCAATAGTCTCCCGCTGGCTAGGCAGACCCTTGTCCGTCTGTTCTGGTTCACAGTGTCCCTCTTTCACACCATTCTGACGGTGACCCTCCTTTGGACTTGACGCTCCACCCTGTCGGTGTTTTTCTTCTGAACTCGACGTTCCCGACGGACCGCCGGGCTGAGCCGGGATGGCCGGTCTGGAAGGCTCCCCCGGCCGTTTCAGACCGCCGCCGACCTGGCCAGGCGCGGAGGGTTCTTCTCCCTCCTCTTCAGGCTTCCTCACACCACCACCGACCTGGGCCGTGGTAACAGTGACTGTTGACGTGCTGGTGTCCAGCAGGGAGCGGATCGGGTGGGAGATCGGTCCGCCCATCAGCACCGTGTCCACCCCCGGCTGGGGCTCGGCCACGATCACCGCGGGGCCTGCAACAGACGCAAGACGCGTGACAGGACGCAGCAAATACGCAGCATTAATCATTATACAGCATGATGCACACACATCACTAGGCTGGTTTAAGAGCATTGGCGTTTGCAACGTTATGTGTTGCTTTGCATGTAATTAAATCACGCATTCGGCATGGCATTGTGCCTTACTGAAAGTGAAAAGATCTCAGAACCTATGAGTTGCATATTTGTGCCATTACAAAAATATTGCAAAATGTGGCGTGGGCGCAAAGAAGTAGAACGGTGTTTTACATCACAAACCTGTTTTCACAACAGGGATCAGTTAAGCTCCTCAGGTGCACGTAATAAAGCTAAGCATTTCTTCATCGCTCGATTAAGCTTAATGCCGACCGCAACATTTCATTTGCTGCATCATCAGAAGGAATCCATCGATAGTGTCTGAGTTACAACGACTTTCGGGTACTACTGGATACTGAAAACCACTAAACGTCCCATAGCGAACATAATCTTCGGGACAAAGAAAACTAACCGTATCTGGAAAGTCTGTCGGACTTTCCGACGCCTACTTTTCAAACATGTGAAGCTTACATGCATGTGGCACTGAAATTTTCATGTCAATTCAGTAAGATTTCGGGTATTCTAAATCTAATAAGCATCCCATTTTGTAAGTGAAATAAAACAAATCCTTATATAAAGAAAATCGAAGCAGATCCGTCGTCAGTTACGGTGCCAGCCTTAAAGTGACATGTTAGGAGATGCATTAATTGATTATATCGAGTTGTGCCACTCGCAGGGAAGCAAAGAGAATATCATATTGCCTTCTGAATGGTTGGCGCTCGGTATTTCGATATTGAGTTTCCGTGTCACTGTTAACCGGCGGATGTTGGATTACCGTGACCGTGAAGGCGGATCACCCACCGGAATAGCCAAAGCCAGTGATCCGGACAGATAACACAAATATACGTTCCCAATACTCACGGCACGAACACACATCAACACGACACGAACAATGAACATAGATGCTCACCCTTGGCACTCGGCTCGATCCCGAACGAATGGATCACGTTCCCCGGGAAGAACAGGATACCACGCTCGTCGCGATCGGCTCCGTCCGTTTCCTTAACCCCGCTCTCTTGCTGATGCACGCTATCATCTGAGGGTGCGCCTCCTGCGGTTTGTCGGACGCCAAGTTTGGAGCGACCCTGTCGACGGTCAGCCGTCGGTTGCCCAAATCGACGGCGGAGAGCTCGTAGGTAGGCTGACACACGGGACCGGGTCACCCCAGAGCGGGCGGTCTTAGAGGGTAGAGCGCTCTCGCTCTGCAGTCGCTCAGGCTCCGTGACAATCGGTGACAAGATTTGAAGACGGCCAGATGTTTGGGAAGGCGGACCTCGCGGGGATTCGGTCCTGCGCTGGGTGCTCGGTGAAAAGATGAGACGGTCACGGCGACTGAGTTTGTCGCCACTGCTGAAAATTGCGCAAGAAGCATACAACAGAAGGGCTATACAACACTTTGAGGTCTTCATGATAACTTCCGATCACCAGATTGTTGTGAGTCGTACAATATGTTGACAGGATCCCGTTCAAGGCTTCCGTCAAATCTTCCTTGTCAGCTGTAGGTAGGTATTGGTTTAGTAATGAACAAAACACAATAGATATATTTTCTTGGTATGTCGTCTCTAAATCATTCTTGAAAATCTGTCAAAAGTCCACCCTCAGTCCATTCTGCACCCTGTTTACGCTAAAACTATAGGCACCAGCCTCGGCACCAGCCACAGCACCAGTCTCCGCACCAGTCGCAGCACTACACTATTCGAGCACCAGAGCGTCAGCTCCTCGGACCTCTCTCGTCGGGAGACTGGTGTCGTCTCTGCCACCACGGACAGTCATCAGCTACCATGTCGAAATAGCCGTGCGTGCAGGCAGATTCGGGCCAGCAGTGAGTCTCAGTGGCCACCTGAGCGGACCGTATAGGCGCTGTGACGCTGAGTCGCCGGTCGGCCGGCGCGGAGCAGGTTCTTGGAATAAGTCCCCCACCATTGCATGGCAGTAATCCCCGGCTGGACTCTGGTGGTGGTTTGGTACAGGACGGTGGTCGGAGGCTGCAGTGTGGGGCCGAGACACACATCGGGATGCCAGGGGAGTATCCTGTAGTGTGTCCGGCTCAGAGGGTCGTGGTCACTGGTACACTAGCACTGACATGACACACAGCGGGCATGGCTTGAAATATCGACAGTTTACCCCGACCTGACATAAAGCTGTTCATGACCTGACGTGACACAGAGCTAGCCGGGACCGGACACAATTCTGGCCCTTACCTGACACGCCGCTGGCCCTAGCCTTATGCAAAACTTACTCTAACATGACCTAGCCCTGACCTGACCTGACCTGACACACCGATGGCCCTGACCTGACTCACACCTCTCCCGAACCTGACACATTTTTTGTGTTAGGCTCTTTCGGTCTAACAAGACCATTTCAGAGACGCGGCCGCCCTGGTGAGTCGTTGGGGATGAGTCCATCCATTGGACAGGCCACCCAGACCCCTGGCGGTCACCGTACCCGACTACTGGCTTGCTCCTAATGGGAGCTACCCGCATGGGATAAAGTTGCCCGTCCAGCCCGGAACAGGGGGTGGAGAGGTTTTGACTTTCCTGAGGATGGATACGACGGAACGGATGAAACGATGGAACGAAGGTGAACTGACATGTAGCTAGCCCTGACCTCACACCTATCGGCTACCCCTGACCTCAAACGCAGCTGGACCCGACCTAACACCTGACCCTGACCGGACATTTGACACAAGGTTTATCCCCGCCCCGTTCATTCGTCCCAATGTATCCTCAGCGCAGCCAGACACCCTGACTACATAAGAAACACACGCAGCGTCGGGCGTCTACCGCCGACGTCCACCAAGATGCGCGCAAGTGAAACGAATAGTTCGCTGCGGCGACGCTAGATGACTCCTGCGGTGATGCACACCGTCGGTTCGTTGTCGGATCAACGTTCATTGTTCGTCCAGCGCTATTTGCTCTCCGGCTCGCTTTTGTTTTCGACATGCATCTCATCCAATACCGATTGTAATACACGTTTTTTTACTGGCTGTCAACGCACGATAAAGCGTCCTTTTATACGTGACCTCACATACCTATACAACAAAAATAAGGAACAATGTGTGTTGATTTAATTAATTGCATTAGGTATACCTACATCCTTAATGGTCATGGAACATCATTGAACAGCAATCATCGCAACAAACATATTTTTCATCCCATATATTAGCGTTTCTTTTCACATTAGTTGCAGAGACATATCTTCACAGATTGGTCTGGATCAGGACCGGGAGAATTTGTCTTCAATTCCCGGTTAAATTGCGTCAAGCTATCAACTCCCAATGAGTTACCCAATGTACAGCTCGGGGTTCCGCTGCTTCAGCAGGTCGTATTCGGGAAGCTGAGCGGGGGGCTGCGGCAGGTGGGCTCCCCGCGGCTGGAAGCCACCCTCGTCGGCCCGATAGTCGACGCGGTACTTCTGCTGGTTGGGAGCGACGAACTCGAATCCGCCCTCTTTGCTGATGGAGCCGGTGCCGGGCTCCGGTCCTGGGTAGCTGCGGCCGACCTCATCCACCTGTTTACCAATAAGATACCAAATATTTGCGCATGGCTCGGGATGAAGCGTTTGTATACATATGTGAGGGGTTCCGGGTTTCGCTAAATGTTCATGTAATTTTACAATTCAATTGAACAAAGGCAATAGTTGTTCAGCCTGAAGTTAAATTGACTATCGAGTCAAAATGTAAGATAAACAAGACAGTAGCGAAAAACAAATGCTACATTCAGCTAGACATTTTCTTTGCGACGAATATACCTTCTGTCCGTTGCTCTGTTCGTATCCGTACTCGTAGTTGCCCCTGCCGTCTTGATTGAAGTATTTGCTGACCAGCAGGATGCGACGATCACCATGACGCTCGGTTGGGTTTGCCGCCGCAAAACCCACCAACAGAACGAGCACAGCCTGAGCAATAGCATGCAACAGACTCTGTCAGACTCAGATGGTGGAGGGAGTAAGGAAAAAAACGGAATAGGTATAAAATGAATCATCTTTGACATGACAAGGTGAGTGGTTTTGGAGTAATGGTGTTTATAACACCTTCAACTGCAAAATTAACCCTCGTCGGCCGAGGGAGTGCCGCCCCCCATAAGGTTTTTTTTTTTTTGCAATAGCTCCGAACACGCTGGCGATAGAGAGCTGAAACTTGGCATACCTGACCTATGATTCAAGCCGGATATTTTGACACCAACCGTATTTTCGGGTCAGGTGAGGTCACTGACCTATGACGTCATAAGTGAACCTCTGCACGGTCTTCAGATGTCGCAACTTCGCAACGCCCTCACTGCCAGAGGAGCTTTCACAGGGAAATGAAACTTGCAGGATCTAGTATCCATTACAAGTCTCACAACTTGTATATCTCGGATTTTTCTTAAAGGTCATATGAGGTCAGGTCATTTTCCTGACCTCACCATTAGAAGTCAATGGGGAAAAATGAAAACTGCTATTCTGGCGCAGGGAACGATCTCCAACTATCTCAAGCACACAGAATCGTGATTTGATGCACTCCTTGCAAGGTTAGATGCGTCACTTTTGCAATGTTGACCTTGCATGTGACGTCATTTATGACGTAATCAAGGTCATATTAGTTTTTCGTCAATAACTCCCGATCAAATTGAGCTAGCGAGTCGGGAAAGCCACCAATGGACTCAGGAAGACCTGCCGAATCGAATGATATGCGACATGACCTCTTTCGACCAACTTCGTGACCTGGGGGCGCTGACCTGACCTTGACCTGAGGTTAACACCCTAAGTTGACCTGACCCGAACAAAAAGTATACCATTCGACGCGCCTGAGCGAGGCAAACACGATGCTGCCAAAATCGGCGCTCTGCGGCTGTTTTTTGCGAAGTTATTCACCAAAAACTGAAGTTACTGAACCGTACCTTGGGGCACTTGACCTGACCTCAGAGGACACCGGTTGACCTAGGACCTTAAAATCGGGTAACAATCTCTGCGTCTCGTAACGGCGCACACGCTCGTTTTTTTCCGCGACGCGCTAGCTCCACCAGGGGCGAAACGGCGAGGGGGGTCGTACCCGCCCCCCCTTCGGCCGGCGCGTATGTAGAAAACCAATGGGTCCGGCGAGGGTTAAGCAGATAGGCAGCACAGCAGTCTCACCAGCTTCATTTTGATGCAGCTAAGGAGCTGACGAAGGCGTCCGTATGGAGCTCTCCAGACCGACTGATGCTGGTGCAGGTGAAACACGACCTTTTTAAGGAGCGGGGATTGTGACCGTAGCCAGGCAGTTTGTTAGGTAAGTGCAACAGCTGCACAAACTGGTACCTAAAAAGGGGCGGTCTGCCGAAAATATCGTGGCTGAGCTTATAGCTACCTACACGCCAAATTTGCGGAGGCAGAGAGAAGTATGTGGTGGAGAAATCAGGCTTCATGATTAATCAAGACGTTGTGATGGGAACCAAAGACCTTTGTAATAAATTTCAATCTAGATTGCATCGTGAATTCAATACCTCAATCTCTAATCACTACCTCTTGAATGTTAGGCTTGTGACAAGGATATATGTTTTAATTGTGCTTGAGGCTACACTATAGGTTATAATTTGCTACCAATGCAAACATATACAAAGATAGATAACGGCTGCATCTAGATAAGAAATAAAACACATTCCGCTCAAATTTTTGAAGTCGTGACACGATGCAGCCGAGATCGTCAGCTGATGCTATCTCAATGTTCGCTTCCATTCCCATGAACGTTGGACGAGCGATTTTCGAAGTGAGCTGATCAGAGGACCGGAAAGAAGCCATGATGGTGACAGATCCTCACGTTTCGCTAATAAAGTGAGCGTCAGAGAACGGGGATAAACCACGATGCATGTCAACCAGAACTTCAGATCGACAGCGGGCGCTGCCTTCGAGCTCGCCCTGTCGCGCTCCTATGGTGCCAGCATCCTTCGGCGTCCCTTTGGTGAAAGGTTTGCTTCATACGTGACAGCTTTGTGGGGACTCTAAGCTCAGCGAAGTCGGTGCGCAAAGCGGGACGAACGGCGGGCAGTGGTAATTCCGAGAGAGATTGATCGAGCCAGACCACACGACAGACGCAAAAAACGGACCAAATGTCACACACCGCAGCGGTATACTGACCACATCGTGCTGGCTTCACTAAGCTAATCCTGTCAGGTCAGCAAAACGATCTTTACGACACGAAAACATGAAGGAAGGAGGTGAAAATGACGGTTGTAGGAGTCGCGACAATCCCAAAATCTGTAAAATGGTCAAAGCCATGGATATCTTGAGTTCACTTGACGTTGTTTTTTTGTGTTGTTGGTGTCCACCTCCAGCAGAGGTGGAGCATGTTGAAAAGACGAGAGTGCTGTTTACATGGTAGTTGTTTTATTTAGGCCTGGTATGACCAGAGCTCCGCCAATAATTTCGACATTGATCTAGTCCAGGATGATTTAAAGGTAGTGTGCCAGCTTTCTTGGACCGTATGGAGTTAATGGCCCAGATAAGGAGAACCGGATTTTTAGAACTTATCCATACCTTCGAAACTCATGGAAACGTCTTAAATTCTTCAAATTTTGAGTACCCCAGTGCGAAATTCGCCCCGACGGGTTGTCGGTCGTACCCCAACCACATTTCACACCACTATGAACAATAAATGCACACACTGAAATCGCTATTACCGATATGCTCATCCAATCAAGTTTCGATAAACCCGTTCATCATCATCTCCTGCGGTTTCGAACACGCCTGTTAGGTGGCTTCTGATGCTCGTCGAGGTCGGAATTTCCAAATACGCGTGGTGCGTCGGGCCGCGCGCTCTGACTTCGGCCAAGAAAAATGCGTCAGCTGATCATTGTCATTTCTGCCACTTGCGTGTGGTGAAATGGGGTCATAACTTATAAGACGGCTTTTTCATATCAATTATTTTACATAAAATCATATTTCAAACCATAAATAATGTTCGACAGCCAAATAAAAGAAACAATACAATACGGGCTTACAGTTTAAGGCTCGACATTGTGTTGTCTACGATTAGACAGCTGATAACTCATTCCCGTACGTCGTATGGTCGTAACACTATAATGACCTTTGCTTATTGTCACAAGTGCGCCGCATTCGCGATTGTTGCCCGACGCCTGTTTGCAGGTGAGCCCACTACAGTTGTTATACATATCTAAAAACCGAAAAACTTTTAGGCGAAAAAGGCACTATTCCAGGCCCATTTTTGATTTTTTTTTGCGATATTAGGTAAAAACAGAAGCTTCTTATCCTAGGAAAAATAAAATGGGAAATATTTCAAAGGTGGCACACTACCTTTAACTAGATTGGTAAAGTGTTATGCAGCGATGCATGGTACTTGGTAGGAAAGGCTTTAGCGCCATAAAATTGACCATCAAAGCCTCACAAATAAAGTTCTTGAAGCCCATGGTTGTTTATGATTAAAGAAGCAAAAGCGTGTACGATTGTCATGTTATTGTTCAATAGGTGATTTTTTTTGCCAAGTCAACGAACAGAGTCGCATTAACATATTGACATTTTAAGCCTCCAATTAAAGCGAGGTTTTATTGAAGCGAAGAAGTCAATAGCTGCAAGAAAAGCCAAAGTCTCCTATATGTCCACTGGTCAACCAGCATTCATATGACATCATCATTACATCAGATTTTCATTTTCCATTTAACGCACCGTCACCACTGTTATAGAATGTAATCATGACACCTGTTACCGGGTACCGATGTCAGCTCCACCTGTCGAGGCAGACGCTGCAGGGCCACTGGGGCATGCATGAGGGGCTCAGCGGTCAATGGAGGCGGCGTGCCACCGCACAGACCCCAGTCACGCCTCCCGCTGCTTAAAAAGACCGGGTGCTCCTCCCATCAGCAGCACTTGGTCCTGAGAGCGTCCGACGAGCAGCATCCACACTCCCTAGCTTCATCGACATGAAACTGGTGAGTTTATGCTGCTACTCCGCGGATAAAATTCCTGCCGTTTCTCCGACTCCATTCACTGATCAGCTCTCTGCAACAGAGCCTGCACTTTAACTCATAAATATTTGACTTTGCCCTATCAAAAAAAAAAACATGCATGTTTTGCATGTACTATGTATATTATTGCCTTGGACTCTCGCGTTAGACACCAATGCACTTCTTTCCTTCGCCTTCTTTTCGCACTTTCTGACTGAGAGCATCGCGTTTTCCTTCCCAGGCCTTGTTCGTCCTGTCGGTGGGTCTGGCAGCGGCCGTCCAGCACGATCAGTACAGCCAGACACCGCCCATCAGACTCATCAGCCAATACTTCAACCAGGATGGAAAAGGCAACTACGAGTACGGATACGAACAGGACAACGGACAGAAGGTATGTACCGCGCAAACACAACCGAATTTGACGCTTTTTACGGATTGGCTTCATGTTTTCTGTTCGCTTTAACAGTATTTCTATGTAAAGACGCCTTCTCTTTTACTTCAATACTGAGCTGCTACTTTCACAAACTAAATTGCCACACTATAGCATCATTTTCTTTCAAGTACTGAGCAGCGTGGCAAATTTTAATTGTTATTCATACAGGTTGACATTTTTCTGTGTGCGGCAGGTGAATGAGGTGGGTCGCAGCTACCCGGGACCCGTGCCCGGCACCGGCTCCATCAGCAAGGAGGGCGGATTCGAATTCGTCGCTCCTAACAACCAGAGGTACCGCATCGACTACATAGCCAACGAGGGCGGCTTCCAGCCGCGGGGAGCCCACCTGCCGCAGCCCCCCGCTCAGCTTCCCGAGTACGACCTGCTGAGGCAGCAGCACCCCGAGCTGTACCGTGGGTACAACTAGCCCGAAAACTGCTAACTCAACAGTCAACTTACCGGGGATGGAACACAACGACTCCGAATAGTGAAATGAACAACTTTACTGTATCGCAAACTCCGCCTTCCGTCATGAATGTGAAAATGTGCTATATCAATAAACGAAGAGATGAGTAATGCATTTGTTTCATGTCGCTATTCATATCGGCGGGCACCATACCTAGTCCCTTACACATACATGGGGTACATGGGGTATGCTGGGGTAAGTGGGGCAAACGGGCCACCATAACGCTTCTAATGATGCCGACGCTTGATTTTTTACTTTGAAAGATTCTGTCTATACAAATGTTATCCCTAATAATTGCCTTTTATTTCATTTTCGTTTCATTTAGGCACTCACACATAAGAGATATTGGTAAAACGTTAAACCTATGCATTTGGCTACTTCACCCCATTTCCTGGGGCAAAGCGGCCCGCCGGCCACAGACAGGCGACATCTAAAGCCCCGATATGAGAAAGATGATAATTGCCTCATGTACGTACGACTAGAGTAGTTTTATGTTGGTGACAAGGTTCAAACAAAGGTTTGTCATCTTCCCACCTGTAGGCAAACAAAGAAAGGACATTGATGGAAAAAAAACATTTAACTGCATTTTTTGTAGCTCATTTAGCAGAAAAGTGGCGGAGATGAGCGCATGACGCTAAATTTCAATATCAATAACGTTTGTTGTCCAAGTTGAAGCAGCTTATGGATTAAGGAGTTGTTCACCCTGCGCAGCCCACTTTGCCCCGCTCCTACCATCAGAGGCAAAAAAATTCTTACTCTGTAGCTGGGGCAAAACGCGTTGAAATTGGCAGAAGACGTGCACAATAACAAATGCAGGTTTGAGAACAATTAAATAAACTTCTAAACGGTTAGGTATGGTATAAAATACCATTAACTACACATAATATTGGGGTAATAAGAATAACCTGAGACACCCTGAGAAAATATACATTTCCGTTTGTCACGGAAAAAAATAGTGACGGGTCGCAAGCCCCGGTCTGGCTCATCCGAACGACCGCGAAGAGAAGTACATACCTAAAATTGGCAACCATAAATTAGAGATGACGCCAGTTGTGCAGGGCCAAAACGAAGGGTGTCTTCTTTGCACCGGGTGGCCGCTTTGCCCCCACTCGCCCCCTACCGGTGCGTACCTGTACAGCGGAACGTCGGAGCGACTCGGGAACTGTAGCTCATCACCGAGTGTTCAGTTGTTCAATGCTGCATCAACTGAGCTGTGAGACTGACTCAATTGGCTGTTGAAGATTATATCGAGCTCAACAAAATTAAGCTAGAGCAAACTCTTCTTTCACAAATTTATTACGAACTTTCAAGTGGAGCTTGTTGCGCAAGTACATACTGTCCCGTACCTTCCGATCGTGCAATACCTGGCCCATATGGTAGAATTTAGAGTCCGAAGGTTAACCCGCACCCCATTGGGGTCTGCGTGTAACGCGCCTTACTGGGGGGGGGGGGGGGTATTCATAGCCCTCTGCTAACTCCAAACCTACTGGACAGATTGTCAAAATTCAAACGGCGTCTGATAGCCCTGGAAAAACATACACGCCAGGAGCCTCATAACATCCAGCGCCCGTCACGCCTCGAACCCTGGACTTTTGTGGCCGGGATGCGTTTTTGCGCTTTAGACCTTTTTGATTTGAATTTGACCTTTGACTTGACCTTGACCCGAAACTTGACCTCAATCTTAAAATCTTAACCCTCGCCCGCACATGGGGGGGTGGTTGCCACCCCCCCCCCCAGGCAGTCTTTCTGCTCTGCACTCAACATTTTTAGAGCTAGAAGGCTGATTTTTCGTATAGCTGCTCGTCTATCCTTTCTTGATGTCCACTGAAAATTTCAAGTTTCTGTGATTTTTGGTTTCGGAGATATGACCTTGTTTTTCAGGTCATGTCATGACCCAAATGGCCAATTCTCAACATCTTGCGTTTGCCAGGGGCTTTGTGAGCTTTTGACACCCTGATTTCGGCCTTTTTTGCCAGTCTTACCTCCCACCTATCATGGAACATGTTGTTCGACGATGTACAGGGGTCAAGGTCAGGGTCAAGGTCAACCTAGGTCATCTAAGATAATTGCGTTTTAGGCAAGCTGAATTTACTTTTTGTGAAGTTTTTTGACTGCATTTTTGGTAAAAACTTCTCAGATCATGATTTCATGTGATATGGACCAAAAAACAATCGGTGCACACATCAGCATACACACAGACACACACAGACATACAAACACATATAATTGACCTTGACCTAACTTGACCTGAAATGACCTCAGCAGCAAAATTCTGGTCGGATAGTGTGACAAAGAGGTTCTAGCTGGCTTGGCACCAGAAAACAGCATCGTCATCGGTATTTGATAAGCAGCGCACTTGATATCCAACGGTGACCCAAAACAGCAACATTTTTTAGTTTGACCTGACCTGGAAGGTCAATGACTGACCTGAGAAGGTAAAACTGGGTATCATTGGATTCGTCTCTTCCCAAAGAATCTTTTTGGTCTTTACTGCTAAGCTCTATCTCCAACAGGAACGAAATGGCGCGGGGGGGGTGGCAACCACCCCCCCCCCCCCATGTGCGTTCTAGGATGGGAAAATGGCATGTGCGGGCGAGGGTTAAGAGTGCTTTGGGAACGTCTCGTAGAGACCTTTCGAACGCCGCCTCGCGGGGCTCGATACGACCATTGGTTCTCGAGATAACAGGGGGGGGGGGGTCGGATCCGACCCCCCCAGGCTGTCGTGGGTACGGAAATAGCCCAGGCGGTGCCGGGTTAAGAGAGCTGACTAAGGAGAGAGAGAGAGAGAGAGAGAGAGAGAGAGAGAGAGAGAGAGAGAGAGAGAGAGAGAGAGAGAGAGAGAGAGGAGAGAGAGAGAGAGAGAGAGAGAGAGAGAGAGAGAGAGAGAGAGAGAGAGAGAGAGAGAGAGAGAGAGGAGAGAGAGAGAGAGAGAGAGAGAGAGAGAGAGAGAGAGAGAGAGAGAGAGAGAGAGAGAGAGGAGAGAGAGAGAGAGAGAGAGAGAGAGGAGAGAGAGAGAGAGAGAGAGAGAGAGAGGAGAGAGAGAGAGAGAGAGAGAGAGAGAGAGAGAGAGAGAGAGAGAGAGAGAGAGAGAGAGAGAGAGAGAGGAGAGAGAGAGAGAGAGAGAGGAGAGAGAGGAGAGAGAGAGAGGAGAGAGAGAGAGAGAGAGAGAGAGAGAGAGAGAGAGAGAGAGAGAGAGAGAGAGAGAGAGAGAGAGAGAGGAGAGAGAGAGAGAGAGAGAGGAGAGAGAGAGAGGAGAGAGAGAGAGAGAGAGAGAGAGAGAGGAGAGAGAGAGAGAGAGAGAGGAGAGAGAGAGAGAGAGAGAGAGAGAGAGAGAGAGAGAGGAGAGAGGAGAGAGAGGAGAGAGAGAGAGAGAGAGAGGAGAGAGAGAGAGAGAGAGAGAGAGAGAGAGAGAGAGAGAGAGAGAGAGAGAGAGAGAGAGAGAGAGAGAGAGAGAGAGAGAGAGAGAGAGAGAGAGAGAGAGAGAGAGAGAGAGGAGAGAGAGAGAGAGAGAGAGAGAGAGAGAGAGAGAGAGAGAGAGAGAGAGAGAGAGAGAGAGAGAGAGAGAGAGAGAGAGAGAGAGAGAGAGAGAGAGAGAGAGAGAGAGAGAGAGAGGAGAGAGAGAGAGAGAGAGAGAGAGAGAGAGAGAGAGAGAGAGAGAGAGAGAGAGAGAGAGAGAGAGAGAGAGAGAGAGAGAGAGAGCACCAATTGAAATAAGCTGATGAGGTCATGATCAGCGACTATGAGCTTACGGTACTTACGTCAGCCTAGTACCTTCTTCACTGAGGTTAGCTTCTATAGTTGATCTTTTCGCCTACATTTTCTGCGCCTGACTTCACCTTTTTTCCTGAAATTCGCATGCCGATAAACAGTCATTTTCTGCTTATCTTTCGCCTCTCTCATGTTCGATGGAGAAAAGTAAATCGTTTTTATGATCCTCTCTCTAGGATATTAGCAAAAATTAAGCGCAGGTTAACAGAGCACAGATAATATATTCACGAAAGGGAACGGAAACGGCTGTGGAAGTGCTGCATATTTAAAGCAGCCTTAAATTTCTTGATACCCATAGTTAGTGATGCCGCACCGCAAAGTCGTGGTCCGCTCAAAATGGCAAAAGCTTCTTGAGAGAAGCATGCTCGCTTCGATGGAAATTGTTGTTCTTTTATCATTAGCTTTCCTCCCTTCAGAAATATACTGAGCCAAAATTATATTGTTTTAGTGTTTTCAAATGTATCGGCCACAGGCCTTCACCAGTCAAGTATCCAAAAGAACATTGGCCTATGAAAGCCTGTAGCCAATGTATTTGAAAACACAAACAATCTAATTTTGGCTCAGCATATTTTTGAAAGGAGGGAAGGTCATGATAATAAACAAATACTTAATTTTTACATCAGTAATGATCCTCCAAGGTTGCATTGCAACATAAATCTTGTTCGTGAGCAAAAGGAAATAACCGATAATGTATGGCATTGCTCCACAATCCACATGACTAGCAAATCACCCGCAATGCAGCGACATATACAAAGTGAGAAGAGTAAAATAGAGGACAGGTCACATCAAGATTACTGGTCACATGCCCTCGTGAAGGGAAAAGTTTTGTCGTTGTTGTGAACCATGGTTACGTTATCAAAGTCATTGCCGCCAGATGTGTAACTTGCTCAGCTTTCGTGCTCTTCGTTCTTTTGCTCTGTTATGATCTTTCGTCTCGTCTCGTCTCGTCTCGTCTCGTCTCGTCTCGTCTCGTCTTGTCTCGTCCCGTCCCGTCCCGTCTCGTCTCGGTTCTCGGTTCTCGGCCCTCAGTTCCTCTCCTCTCCGCTCCTCTCCCCTCCTCACCTCTCCTCTCCTCCTTGGCAGCTATTCGCCAGCCACAAAATTTCATAGATGTGTCGGTGTGGCTCAAAACGCTTTATTGCCTGGCAACAGCCCAAACCCATCCCTTACGGCCCACGAGATGGCTCAGAAGCGGGAAGCCCTGGGCCTGATAAGCATCTGAACTCGAGCGTCTGCCTGCAGTCACATCTTTACCCCCTCCTTCGTTAGTCTCGGGAACACCTCCCGATGTGATAGTCCAGAACCCACTTTGTCCCACAAACGCCCCTAATGGTGTTGATCCG